GCCATGATCCGTGCTGTAAGCCATGTGGAAAACAAACCTTGTTTTTCTGAGCCATGTCGTTTCCCAGTTCACTGTGTTGTCTCTTTCTCAGTGCATGGCTTCACTTGGCATCCCACGTGGACAACCATGAAATAGCACACGCGCCTGGTCACTGCATGCACCGCTGTACTGTGCAGAATGCGCTAGGCTAGGCAGGCGCTTATTATCTTGTACTAGTCGTGAAAATATTTACGACTACTCGTGAATAATTTCATGACGTCTCAAAATGCTCAGAAAGAGTAGGCCTATGTCCTGAGCATAATATGCCTATGATGCACGTCGTTCTATTATGTCCTCCTTTTCCGTCTGCCGTTCTGCCCTCCTGGCATTTCTTCACCCAGCACGCAAGGGGGGTGGGCTCGGGGATATTTTTTTTCCAAACGTATTAGTCCATGCAACGTACATTTCACCGTGGAGGCCGCGAGGCGTAAGGACTGTAGTTTCATCTAAGGACTCATCTTCCATAAGAAAGTACATGGGTATCCCCAGACAATTGTGTAATGAATTTCTTTTAAAACAAACACGTATTATGAGTACTGCTTGGGAAAAGTTATAAAATCGGTCAGCCCTTTCTGTTTTAAAAAAGAAATTTCCACACGGTGCACTTCTCGTGCGAGACGATGGTGGGGTTCCGTAGTAGCCCCGAAGCGATATCTTACCGCACATAAGCATTGTACTGAAGCAGGCACCGACATCAATCGCTTATAGTTTGCTTTTCTTTGCAGGCAACAAGATTCATAACCTCAAGGATCCCTCAGCGTACAAAATCTCTTCATAAGTTACACATGACTGTATCTTTCTAACACGATCCTGATCCAGTTCGGACAGCAGCGTTGTAATGTCATTTATGAGAAGTAATCATTTATAGCACCCTCGACGGACTACTACCAAACATTTGCGAGGCCTCTGTGATTACTGTGCATACATTTAAAACATTTGTAAAGCATTTCGGAAGCACTGCTTTTGTTAAATAAAATAACATGTACGGAGAGTTGAATATTCCCAACCAATATAGATTCATAATCATTGTATGCCTTAATATTAAAGGGTTACATACTTAGATTGGCTGTTGGCAGAGATAAGAAGTTAACCTCCCTGATTTCTTCCTATGCATCCCTACCTTCCACTTTTCATTCAGAAGATATCAATGCTATGTTGGGCCAGATGAATGTATAATATAGTGGAAATGTTTCAAATGAATAAGTGTTGTGTTTGTGAATCCCTTATCATAATGAAGAATGCTTAGAAGGGAACACGTAACATAATTGTTTGACCACAAACCTTAAAATTACACATATTTTGTTTTAGTTAAAGGTATTTTCGATG